CAAGCCAGTTGGCAAGGATAGTGATTGTCGATTGTATGTTGTTTCCTTTATAGGGCTGTGGCGAGGTCCTTTTTTACCAAATCAGTGACCACTACCTGGCTGCTGGCATCATCTCACTTCTGATTTGCGGGTGTCAACTTGGAGCCGTTATTTGTGCCTCTCTTATGTCAAAAATGGTTGCATCGAATGTGCGATCTTAGGTAACACCACTATTGTACTCAAATTTGACGTTCAGGCCTTTGTATTGGTATTTTTCTAAATTTTGTCAATACAATCAGTTTGATGTTATTTGGATTTGGGGATAGGCCTCTCATTTAAAAGCTAGCCACTGTGATGATAACAAAATATACTTTTGCATAAAAAAACATTTTGCACTTCTACAAATAGTCACGTGTGTGAAATGGTGACCATTGGCTTATTGGATTATCAGTGAACCACTCAGATACCGCCCACGATATTTGAATTATTTAAAGTATTTACTCAATAATCGATTACTAATGAGATTCATCCTAGGTAAACATGTACCCAGAAAGAAATATGCGTGTTTCTTAGACTCTATACGAAGTAGAACGAAAGATCTCCCTTAAATATGTGTTTCCAAGCCCTTCCAATTTAGAAATAAAAGTGTTTTTGATCCAGGTAGTGAATCTCAAAATTCACTTTTACCTACGGATTGTTAGGGGATTTAATCATTGAGTTCTGAACGAGACTTGGGAACTTCTGTTCTGGGTTAGAGAAGCTGCATTTAACGATATCCTTTCGATAGATATTTAGAGTGCCACCATAGCTATTGTGGGATCGTCCATTGAATAGACTGCCTTGTACAGTTTCCCAAATTGGGAATTGGTTATTACTGTCTTCAGACACACTTGCAATGGCACTTCATCTAGTCGCCTCTATGTATTAACTGGGTTTACACGTTACCTAAATTACGTGCACCGAGTTAACATGCAGCACTCATTACTAGCAAGAAATAACTCACCTATTTGCATAAATGTCCTCTGAGTTTGATTATGTCCCATTACTTTTGAGTTTGGAATAGAATTCTGTAACTAACATTTGTAGAAAACAAATTTTCCATCAAAAAATTGACATTGTCCCTGTTTTTCTGTTGACTGAAAACTCACTACATTTACCAACAACGGTGTAAAATGGTAACCGGATTTAAACTAATTTACATAAACAAAGATGGATAGTTGGCACGTAAACAGATTACTCAAGCAATTATGCGACAAAATTAAGCAGATTTCGATCAAAATCTAGTGTGTTATCATTTGGATGATCGAACTGAAAAAAGCTCTGCATATGGTGAGCAGTAAACCGTTCGTGGCAGCCTTACTCAAGACGAATACATTGCTTACTTACAGGTTCAAACCAGCTCAAAGTATAAATAATAAGTGGACATTCAAACACGATCCTGCAATTCAATTACCCATTTCAAAACCCCACCAACCATAACATACTTGAAGCACTAAAACAAGGTCAGTTAATTGGCGCATTTAGACGTTAATGTTTTAGTGTCATGCGAAAGAAAAGAATAGATCAAACACTTGGTGAGTTTGCTGGCAAGGAGAATGGTACTGGTATTTTTGATGAGAAAGTGCGGAACCAATAGGACGCCGGAAGTCAGGATACAACTTTGAATGTCTTCACAGACCACTGTAGAATACCCAAAGCCTAGTATAAAGGAGACTGGTAGGGCAGAAGAGGCTTTATTGGCCAATCACAAGACAGAACCATTCGTCACGCGCCGTTCATCAGAGTCATTCAAGCTGGCTGCGTCGCTCATTATATACTGTTTCCCATGCGTGTCTGCCTCTGATTGGCTGCATATCTTCCTCGCATACCATTCGAACGCAGAGACAGAGAATTAGGTGAGCTCGGCGTGGTCTAATATGTCTGCGCCCTTATACATCGCTACTCCGTCCCTTAAAAATATCCAATGAAATCGAGGTTGTTGTAAGTCTTACCTTAAGCATGTCCGTATTGCATGAAGTCAGTAGTAATTGGATTGCTTTGAAATAATGCGTTAACGCTACACATGCCTGGGTTGAAAATGATCAAATTGCTCTCATTTGAGTAGTCATAGACAATATAAAACTAAAAAAATGGATTTTCAGAAATGATTGGAACAGCAATTTCCAACTACTTTCCTAAGTACCCATATTAACGATCCAGGCATTTTCAAGACATTTCAGCTTAGGGTATTTGTGCGTTCAGGTCCATTTCAAGATAAAAAAAACCCCGGTTTCCATTTTACATCCTTTCTCGTGAAGTCTGGATGCTGATTAGGCAGTAGACATCTTCCCACGAAATTACAATTAGAATTGAAATTCTAGTAGTCAGTTTTCGCCATACTGTGCCTTGTCAAATTCGCCTACCCTGTGCTACCAGGTAACTGCCGAAATAGATGAGGCTCTAGTGAACTTTCATCGAAAGCGCGTGAGGGAAGCTTATTCACGAGTTGATCGAATGTCATCGATTGCCGATGACAGTTGATGGTCGATATTCATTGATGCGCTCCCATATAAGTGGTCTAACATGCATCCGACTTGCTTCTCTTCTCGCTATGTTACGGTCTGTTAACTAGCAGGGTTGTAAGGTAGTGCCAACGAAGCCGCTACCGTGCAAATCACCTTTGTTGGCAGCATTCATCAGGGCTGTAAATGAGTTTAACTCTCTTGTTGAACTTTATCATGTGTTTTTGCTCCCATGAGAGGCTGCTGGGAGAAAAAAGCACCCCTTAACCACTGTCAATTTTGAGGGTTTAAAGCTCACAAGAAGTACAAAACGTGATTTTTACACGATAGAGAGATACTGGCTACCAGCTGGTAGTTTTTTCACTTGTAAATCACAGTATTGTGGACAACGATCCTTTCACAAGATGTTCATGTCACATGTTCACAATGCCCACTCCATCGTGGACGTGGATAGCAACCACCCCGAAGTGTTGACGAGGTGGCTCAGAATAAGGCACGACTGAGTGAACTGAGAGCTCTTTTCCAAGAGCAATCAACTGTCATACTACTTAACTCATTCTTCCAGTTCACGTCGTTGACTATGAATGACAAGGCGTGAAAGGACATTCGAGCAAACGATCAAATGTGAACAAGGGGTAAAATCCATTCGAACAGTTTTTCAAGCCTCACTTGACAAAAGCATCGACTAGTAGACTGCTCCTGTGGCCAACAGTTTCCCAGTTAGCTTTACCACATTAAAACAATGTGTATAAAATGATCGAAAATGAAGATATATTATTAAGTGAATACAAACTTGCTGACCTCTAAAGCGCAGTCCATGCACTTCTCTCAAGTGAAGTCCAATCTGGAAAACGTCAAAGAATACAAGGTTGGTAAAGTTGAGTTAAATAAACTGCGTTGTCTAGATGGGTTCAAAGAACCACTGTTCACCACAGTGTTATAAATCAAGACTTCCTCAATTACTTCAAGGACAGTAACTAGTCTCACTACAACAGTGTCGAGGAACACCCATATGGAAATTGAAGTTTCCGAAACGAACCATCAGCAGAGGAGAGCACCACGCCATCAATGATGATCTTTAGTCTAGTCCGATTGATCTGTGCAAGAAAAACTGATCCACTGTAACACAATGTTTGTGTATAAGATTATATCAGTACCATTAATTACAACGCTTCATAACCTGTTTTAGCTTGAAGTCTACACCGTATTTTGACGCTTTGGGGCTTGCAGTGCAGGCACAAGCAGAGTAAGCACAGCAACTCGGAATATACTTTTCGCCCGACTGACCTACTTTATTCCAGCTACTGTCAATGTCATGTACACGATCGCATCATTTAACTAAGTTGCAAAGGAACTAGCGTTCTGGACAAATGTAAGCAGCTTGTCGAAACATTCTACCTTGATTTTCCTTGAGCCTGCAACAGTGAGACTTGGGGTCAAACGCACTCAAGAATGCAACATATCTTGGAGTTTACTTGCTGAGTGTGTGGTGATCCAGTGATGCTGGATACGTACGTAGTGACTAGATACTTAGCACTACCTTACAACCCTCTAGTTAACAGCCCAAGACAACTCCAGAAGAGTGGAAAAGAGGCGACAGCGGACACGACCGTTTATTAGCGTCAAACCAGCCAAGTGGCTTTGTGGGCGTATGAGTGCGCGTGCGTAACAGGCGAATGCTGACAGGGGCCAATAACAAAAGGGGTGAGTCATTGGTCCACTCGGGCCCTTATGCACGCATCACTCACGTGAGGTGGCTGTCAGTCCACTAAGCGTACGTATCGCAAAGTGTAATGTACGAATTAATACGCAGCGTGAAACTAGTATTCATTATCAAGCAACGAGAAGTAAGATGAAAAGATCATCTTTGCGTAAATATTGATGATTTATGCCAAGATCACCTATGTGAACATTATTTAATTGAGTTTAGCTTCTACCAGAGCAAATTCTTAAAGGTAAATTTGAGCAATTGGTGTAAAGTTCTCTTGAATACGACAACAATCACATTGACGATTAGCTAACACTTTTTTACTTTTGACTGGAGACAAATTTTCTACTACACCATCGAAATATTTCGGTTAGTTTTGTCGAGTACCTTCATATTTAACCTACGAAGTGGGCATGGGCTAAGACTAGCACATTGTCTTCGTAAACAGTTTTTCGTGAATAAATATGCACCAACGTCGACAGCACTCGAAACCGTCTGGAATTCAAGAAATCACTGATGCGGCTGTCATATAGACTGTCCACAAGCCACGATCACATACCTTAGCCACCTACCACTATATTGTGTAATACGTCTGACTGGAGTGGACACTACTCAATAAACATCACTAAATATGGCGAAATATGGTTCTAATTAACGTCGTCACGGCGGAAAATTACTCCTTTTTATCAAAAAGTTTAATTACAAACCCTTCAAACGTCTAATTCATGCGCTTCTCATTCTTACTAGAAGTGATTAAGAAGCAAATGCAGGAGTTGATGAAGCAGTAGATATGCATATATTTGCAGGTTGTTTTAGGCGTCAGCAGTTGGTCCGTCCGATTTTGTAAAGAGACAGGCGCAGAACATTGCTCCGAGTAGAAAAGGACACAACAGAATTGACAAGATGCCTTCAGCCAAGAAGTGAGTTTTGAATAGCTCAAACAAGGCGAATGAGCATCCCTACAAAGAGAACAAGGTATTATTGGAAATCACTCAAAGTCCAAACCACACCTAACGGTGCTCCCAAGATGATATTCTGAAGTATGCTTCATTAGTCTATCGATACTGGCAGAGCGACAAAACTTTTGTGGCCACAATATTGGTTAGGCACGATGAGCGATAGTATCTTTTGGTGCTGACTAATTAATGGTTAATATTCCTGCTGATTAGTCATTGCTTTTGACAATAACGAATTTCCAAGTTACAAGAACCAAGATTGACTCAATCAAGTGTTAGTTCATGTACAAATCTAAACCCTGAAAATGTGATTTCTCAGCATTTTCAAGTCCTTATTATTTGAGTAATTCGTAAAAAAGTAAAAAAAAGACATGCACATGGAAGAGGGACGTGGGCACTTGCCATTCGGTGTAGATTGCGGGATCTCAGAGTTCTATTCACACAACACGATTCGGGAACAATCTCCCAGTCACTTGGGCCAGCTCCACCACAGCATTTCAGCTGAAATAAAGGCCAAGGTCATTAACGCGCTTTATCTTGCCTGTTTTTGCAGACGGTCCATAGTGTCTGTGAACTCATCACCAGGATCATCCTGGTACTTTTCCACACGTTCAATGCGTTGTTGAATGTATTGAGTGACGTTGGTAATAAACTTAATACCTAGTCAACCACGTCTAAGTCTGTTGAATTACCTGTCCCTGGCTGATAAATACGAGAATGGCGACGATTAATTCGGCCACTAGCAGAACAGCCGCGCAAACGGCAAACTACACGACTCACAAAAAACGAAGCGTTGCCTTACCGTACGAATCATGCAGTTGCTTTCGTGCAGTGCGCCCAAAAACCCCAGGAAACCAACAATGAGAACTAGAAGACCCGTCGCGGTTCCAAAGGCGAACGGTCCTATGAGCATTGTGGTCTTCACTTGGAGCGATGTCCCCAAGATGTAGCATCCAAAGATTCCACACAAAGCACCGATGATCTGGAGGAGGAACGCTTCGTTATTACTCCAAATTAACACTCACTATGATGATGATACTAATGGTGAAAATAAAAATCTTCAGGACTGTTCCACTACAGGAAAGAGTCATTTCGCTGATGAGAGTAGCAAACATTCACCCAACTTTTATTGACCTACATTTACACCTGGACATAATGATTGGTGCATTAGACCCTGTGCTTTAATGACGCTGTTGAACTGAGTGGAGAGGTGATCAGTCAATTCACAGTGGCAAGTAAAAATACAGGTCATGCATCACATACCCTGCTAAGACCTTTCGTCACAAGTTGTGTGTAGACGAGGTCTGAGGGTCAAAAGGGCTGCCTGTTATCCTCTATGTGCGATGCCAGTTGTGTGTGACTTAGTGATTAAAAAGTAATGAATATGGCTGCTAAATCTCCTTCTCTACCACTAAGGCTCCCTTGCAAAGGTAAAACCTGAATGGGTGCATGGGGTCGAACATTATCACTCCAGCAATACTGTCGTTTGCCAACTTATTTCGTTGCGTGTCTGAAAGTTTCGCCTCAGTTCACAAAAAATTACATCCTGGGAATGTGTATTTACCATAACAGACGTCATCTTGTTCCGAAATCCGCCTAAATCAAATCGCATTCAGGTCAGAGTTTTAATGGATAAGGGTTTTACTTTTGCGTAGAGGAATGTGTGTAAAACGGTCACACAATGTGACTGTCATTCACTCACTTAATCAGGCTAACCTGATTCTGAAGGCCGTGAAAACAAGGGATTTAGTCACATGAAGATTCGAAATTGTTCAGGTGTGCATAACGACCTGTTTTATAATGCCACATACGCGCGTAGCTTTATGGTCCTTGCGTTTATTAGAAAATCTTGTCTACACGTGACTGTCTGCTGGCAGTAATGGTTTTTCAATAAGTACATTTCCTCAGTGCATGATTAAAATCCGCCTAAATAACGATAAGCCGTGGACTACTTTCGAGGCATCTACAGACGTCGGAAAAAATGAAATTTTTCCAAATGAACTGCTTTATTGAGTTATAAATCGTGTCCTTGGAAATTTGCCTAAACAATGCCGACTACATCTTTGGAAGAATATCACCCACCAGTCGATCTATTTCTTGGTGAACTTCAGCAGGTAAGTGTGCGTTTGATTCCTAATTAGCTAATCCCGAGAAAACAGACTACCACAGCTTACTCCGCTAGACCATCTCCACAGCAGCTCGTCTCGCATATGCAATGTCTCCCTACAATTCTGGAACCAGCCTCACTTAACACTAAAACTGTCACATGGTATGTTGATTCAGCGCGCTCAACTACGCCTAGAGGTTCCCTAGATTCGCAACGAAGTGTTGAATATGTGAAAAACAAGGAAACAAGTTTTATCAGTTTGACCTACTTTGTTTTCTTGGCAACTCGTCAGCAGTGGTAGTAGATGTGAGTTGAATTGGCAACTCATAAAAAGGAGACACCAAAAGGCATTTGTGGCAGTAGGAAATCCTCAGTAAGTTTACTGTGCGTAGTTTATCTGTAATTTCGAGGCAAGCATAAATCATAAACAGATGCTTTGAGCAAATTCCGTCACGCTTTAGTCACGGCGATAAGTATGTCAGTATTTCTAGCTTGAGAGCTTTAGAAATCATGCAGTGCGTTTGTGGATAATTTAACAAACAGCACAACAAAACGGCTGTGATGTCGACGAGATGGGACTAGCATGCTCGTTTTGTGAATGGCGCTGATTCACACTCGCCAATCCGATCACACCAGCCTTCGACACAGGGTCCCCCTTTTCGCAGCATGTCACCAGCAGCACGGATCCTCAACTCTCTATTACCGCACCAATTAGCCCTCACACCTAGGTCTCAATGTTAGCACATCTGTGACTCACACATAAGGTATAAATACGCCTGAGCAAACGTGACATTGATCTTGAAGTAAACGGTTGTGTCCACGTGTCTCCGATCATTTTCTTCATCGCAAGTAGCATGTAAGGGCAATCGGACCAGATCCAAATCAGTTAGCCCTCAGCGTGGTAAGTTAGAGTGATCTATAGGTTAATTTTCACATCCTGTTTGTTTAAATATTCACAAACATCGCATGTACTCACGACTGCCGGATACATTGAACCATTGCAGTAGGCTTATAATGTATTGAGCTGCCGCCGTATCATTCGAAATACAATCACTGATTTAACACTAACTCCTCCCATTGACTCATTTATTGCATACACATTACCAATGCCAGCTTTACATGTTCGTAAGTCATTTGTGAACAGATCTCCTTTCAGCCTATTCACATGTTTGGTAAGCAAATGAAGTTAGCAACTTGCCAGAGATGAATTTCACATTGGGCATGAGAGAAGGATAATCCTTAAAATAACAGACAAACAACCGACTAATTGGGGCAAACGGAGTGAGAATGCCAAACTGACAATGCAAAGTAGATTCGTGTTTTCCTGTTGCAAAATCGATGAGCGGCTCAAGAAGAAATGAGAGGGGTGACATATTTTAGATAACTCCATAGCAAGTTGCTCCATGCAGCAATACAAAATACACTCTGCTTTTCCACTCAGGTGTGAGCATGCAATTTTATT